TGTGTGTGTGTGTGTCTGTGTGTGCGCGAGTGTGAGTGAGTGTGTGTGTGTGAGAGAGTCTGACCCCTGTCCGGCGCGCAGGTATCCAGGTGGGCAGCCGCACAGGTATCCTCCGTCGGTGTTGGAGCAGCCGAAGCTGCAGGGGTTCTGCGTCGAGCTGCACTCATTGACGTCCTGACAGCCACCCATCAGCTGCTCGAAGGCGAAGCCCGTCGGACACAGGCAGCGGAAACTGCCCAGCGTGTTGTGACACGAGGCGCCGCCACATATCTGACTGTTCTGGCACTCGTTCTTATCTGGACACACAGACACACACAGGGATCAAAGGTCAGGCCGGTTCCCACAGCGCCATTCCGCTGACCTACATTCACACTCTCGCAGTCTCTCAGTGAGCAGACGCAGTTTCTGCAGGAGCACGAGGACCAGCTGGATTCACACCAAAGATCAGGAGACTTTAATCAGCACAGGAAGAGCCGAGCGTCCAGTCACAGACCGACAGACCACACACAGGATGATGGGAAACCACTAACCTCACACACACAGACTGGGATGACATTGTCTTGATTTCCTGTTTGAATAGATTCTTATTTTGAGGAGCTGATATTGATTCTTAAATCCCAAGATCAATGGCTGTAATCAAATTGAAAACTTGTAATTCGGAATCAAATCAGACACAGACGAACATAGAGACATACAGATAAGACAAACAGACGGAGAGACAGACAGGTGGACAGACAGGCAGACAAACGGACTGACAGACATACAGACAGATGGACAGAGAGAGACAGACAGACGGAGAGATAGACAGAGACAGACAAATGGACAGGTGGACAGAGACAGACGGACAGTTAGACAGAGACAGACAGACAGACAGGTGAAGGTGTCTCACCGACGCACTGGTTCCACTGGTAATGCTGCAGGTATCCCTGCGGACAGCTGCATCTGTAGCCGCCCACCAGATTCTGACAGCCGTGCTGACAGCGATGATTCCCCACACACTCGTCCATGTCTGATACACACACCACACACACACACACACACACACAAGATCAGGTTTAGCCAAATCTGCTCACTAATATAGTGAAATCTCATGACATATTATTTAATGTATCCTTACTAGTTAAAATGCTCATCATATTTGTATTTAAATCTAGTATTTGGACAGGTTTCTGTGATGGCTATGTTTAAGGGTCAGAGGTCAGGTTAGGGCATAGAAATTATAGTTATCACAGTTATCATTATAGTTTTCGCTATAGTTATTAATATCGCTGTATTTGTTGTTACAGTTATCGCTATAGTAATTGTTATGATTCTCGTTATTGTCATGGTTACAGTTATCGGCAAAGTTATAGCTGTAGTTATAGTTATATCGCTATAGGTATAGTTTATCATAGTTATCATTATAGTTATCGCTATATTTGTTGTTATAGTTATCGCTATAGTCACCGTTATAATTCTTGTTATAGTCATGGTTCCAGTTATCGGTATAGTTATAGCTGTAGTTATAGTTTATCATAGTTCTCATTATAGTTATCGCTATATTTGTTGTTATAGTTATCGCTATATTTGTTGTTACAGTTATCGCTAAAGTCACCGTTATAATTCACGTTATAGTCATGGTTCCAGTTATCGGCAAAGTTATAGCTTTAGTTATAGTTATATCGCTATAGTTATAGTTTATCATAGTTCTCATTATAGTTATCGCTATATTTGTTGTTATAGTTATCGCTATATTTGTTGTTACAGTTATCGCTAAAGTCACCGTTATAATTCACGTTATAGTCATGGTTCCAGTTATCGGCAAAGTTATAGCTTTAGTTATAGTTATATCGCTATAGTTATAGTTTATCATAGTTCTCATTATAGTTATCGCTATATTTGTTGTTACAGTTATCGCTAAAGTCACCGTTATAATTCACGTTATAGTCATGGTTCCAGTTATCGGTATAGTTATAGCTGTAGTTATAGTTATATCGTTATAGTTTATCCTAGTTATCATTATAGTTATCGCTATATATGTTGTTACAGTTATCGCTAAAGTCACCGTTATAATTCTCGTTATAGTCATAGTTACAGTTATCGGTATAGTTATAGCTGTAGTTATAGTTATATCGTTATAGTTTATCCTAGTTATCATTATAGTTATTGCTATATATGTTGTTACAGTTATCGCTATAGTCACTGTTATAATTCTCGTTATAGTCATAGTTACAGTTATCGGTATAGTTATAGCTGTAGTTATAGTTTATCATAGTTCTCATTATAGTTATCGCTATATTTGTTGTTACAGTTATCGCTAAAGTCATCGTTATAATTCTCGTTATAGTCATGGTTCCAGTTATCGGTATAGTTATATCCTTATAGTTTATCATTGTCATCGCTATGTTTATCATTATAGTTCTCGTTTTAGTTATCATTATAGTTATCGCTATAATCATTATTATAGCCATGGTTATAGTTATCAGTTATCATTATATTTTTTGCTGTAGTTATCGTTATACTTATTGCTGTAGTCACTGTTATCGTTATGGTTATCACTGTTTATTGTCATAGTTCTCATAGCTATTGTTATGGTTATCGCTATATTTATTGTTATAGTTATCGCTGTAGTTATCGTTACAATTATTGCTGTAGTTATTGTTATAGTTATCATTATCACTAAAGTTACTGTTTATAGTGATGGTTATAGTTATTAGTTATTGCTGTAATCGCTACAATTATTGCTGTAGTTATGGTTATAGTTATCATAGTTATTGCTATATTTATTGTTATAGTTATCGTTGTAGCTATCATAGTTATCGTTATCTTTATAGTTATCGTTTTTAGTCATGTTATAGTTATTAGCTATTGTAGTAGTTATCGCTACAATTATTGCTGTAGTTATTGTTATAGTTATCATTATCACTAAAGTTATTGTTTATAGTGATGGTTATAGTTATTAGTTATTGCTGTAATCGCTACAATTATTGCTGTAGTTATGGTTATAGTTATCATAGTTATTGCTATATTTATTTTTATAGGTATTGTTGTAGCTATCATTATAGTTATTGTTTTTAGTCATGTTATAGTTATTAGTTATCACTGTAGTTATCGTTACAATTATTGCTGTAGTTATTGTTATAGTTATCATAGTTATCGCTATATTTATTGTTATAGTTATTGTTATAGCTATCATAGTTATTGTTATAGTTATCATTATAGTTATTGCTTTCACTATAGTTTTTTATAGTCATGGTTATAGTTATTAGTTATCAATATAGTTATCGCTGTAGTTATCATTACAATTATTGCTGTAGTTATCACTATAGTTATCGTTAATAGTCATTATAGTTATTAATCAATATAGTTATTGCTGTAGTTATCGTTACAATTATTGCTGTAGTTATTGTTAGTTATCATTATAGTTATATAATATATATGTATTGGATTACACTTTATTTTAAGGTGTCCTTGTTACAGTGTAGCTATACATTTAAGTACTGAGTGATACTGATTAACTACATGTACTTACTATATGGTTAGGGTTTGGCTTAGGGTTACTTGCATGTAATTATGCATAATTAATTATTATTATAATAGTAAGTACATGTAACATGTGTAACAAGGACACCTTGAAAAATAAAGTGTTACCATTTATTGTATTTGTTGAAGTTATCAGTAACCTCATGCGTCTCCTCTAGAGTTTCAGAAGAGATGTCAGAAATGTCTCAAACTGTGCTCACTAATACAGTCACAGAAACGTCTGTGAGTGTGAGACTCACCCACGCACTGAGTGTCGGTGATGTCAGTGGTGTATCCTGGTTTACAGATGCAGCTGAAGGAGCCCAGTGTGTTCAGACACTGGCCGTTCTTACACAGATTCCCCATCACTTTACACTCGTCGATATCTGCACAGCATACACAGATCATCCACAGATCCAACACACAAACACACACTCAGCACAAACAGCGCAAACACGCGAACCGTCAGCATTACCCTGGCCGTCGGTGGTGTATCCGGGGCCCAGCGGGCACATCTTCTTGTACTGCGTGGTCCCGGGCAGTGGGCAGAGCTCACAGTTGGGCCCCCAGCCGCGGCCCCCGTTACAACAGCACTCGGACTTCCTAACGCTGACGCGACTGCTGGAACTCATCTGACACATGGTCTGCAGAACCTCCAGGAAGCAGAAGCCCTGACGGTTATCTGACACACACACACACACACACAGCGTCTGTTATCGGCCCAGCTTACCCAATCACCAGCGACAGTGTGTTTTGGTGAACAGTATAGATGCTTTACCAGGTTAACTCGCTTCACCAGCAAAACAAAAACAAAAAAAAATCTTTGGACAAACAGCTTCAACCACTTTAGGTTTTGCCAATTTATGTACCATTCACACCAAGAACAATAACTATAAAGTTTTAATAATCGCTCTAGTGAAAATACAGGGTGTCTACAGATAAGAACAAGTTAAATTTACTAACTTTTTTAATACCACCTTATGTGAAATTTAAGACCAACCCTGGTGAAATTTTTGCGGTAATGTGACCAAATATATTTAAGACCCAATGAACCTGAATTTAAGACTTTTTAAGGACCCACCCTGAAATAGCAAAGTCCAAACCACAACTATAACAACTGAAGAACAATATTGTTGGAATCACTTTCAGAGCTTTTTTTCTCCAGCTGACGAATGATAAAAACATTGACAGCCAATCAGAATTCATCAGATTTTTAAGAGCTCGAACATTTAAAGCAGCAGACGACAAAACTGCAGCATGCTTAGAATAAACAGAAAAATATCATCCGATTATGTGGACGCTAATATAGCTATCATTATCGCTACATTTTTTATTGTTATTGCAATAGTTGTGGTTATAGTTATCATTATAGGGTTAGGGTTAGGGTGAGCCACACTCTTACCGATGCACTCAGTTCTGCTGGGACTGGGACTGAAGCCCTGATCGCAGACGCAGCGGTAACTGCCCACCGTGTTCTCGCAGCGGCCGTTCTCACAGATGCCTGGTTTGGCTGTGCATTCGTTCAGATCTGTGCGCAAACACACGCGTCAGGAGTCTGAGCGCTGCAGAGAGTGTCAGTAAGCATCGGGATGTGAGCGCTCACCCACGCAGCTGTCTCCGTTGGGCTGTCTGGTGTATCCCGGCGAGCAGATGCACATGTACGTGCCGATCAGATTCTTACAGGTCATTCCTCTGGACGCACAGTCATCCAGACCCTCCTCGCACTCGTTCTGATCTGATGAACACAAGAGGAGCGTTCAAACGTGATGATGTGTGTTTGTGATGCTGAAAGACTTGTCTTTACCTTTGCACATCCGGCGGTCTTCTCTCAGCACGTATCCCGCTGGACATTTGCATTCGTACGAGCCCACCGTGTTGACACAGCGGAACGCACACAGCAGGGGATTCTGGGAACACTCGTTGATATCTAAAAACACAGCATGTGTTTTCATCAAACACCAGGGCACATACAGAAGTGTTCACACACTAGAGAGTGTTTGACATCAGTTTGTAAACACGTGGATGATTCACCATCGGTGTGAAAACAATCCAGACTAACTAGAGCAAGTGAGCTGCTATGTTTTAGTGTGTGGCTCTTTGCTGCTCTGTTGAGAGCTCGGTTGAAGCGCGTGTTGCATCTCATCTCAGTCATTTTGAGCATGTTTATGTCGTTTATGTAGTTAAATCAGAGATAGAAGCATAAGGGTCCGCTCACACAGAACGTGTTTATGCTTTTAAAAATGCAGGGCAGTGGAATGAAAAGACTGAAGGACTCGAGATGATTTTTAAAAAAGTTGAGCTACTTTTAAAAACATGAGTATAATGGTGAAAGGCATCCATCTAATATGTTTACATAGAAAAACGATGGAAAAGCAGCACAGTACACTGAAAAAAAAACATTAGTGTAGGATTTACTTTGAAACTATTTTTACTCAGAAACTGCTGGTAAATTTCACAAATAATTATAATGAAATAAGGCAATTGTGAATTTATCTCAAAATTCTGACTTTTTTTCTCAGAAGTTTAAGTTTATATCTTGCAATTGTTTTTTTTTTCCACCACAGAATAAAAAAATAAAGGTAATTGAGACTTCTAATCTTTTTAATTTTTTAAGACTTTTTTTTCTCATAATTCTGAGTTTATATCTCACAGTTTAGAGTTTATATCTCGCAATTCAATTCTTCAAGTCAGAATTGTGAGATATAAACTCAGAATTGCGGGGGGAAAAAATCTGAATTGTGAGATAAAAAGTCGCAATTACCTTTTTTATTCCATGGCAGAAACAGGCTTCCATTAGTAACACATTGAATTAAACATTACATTTTGAAGCAGAATGACTGAAACCACATTTTGTAATAGTATTCTTGTAAACTGTACAGCTTGAAGAAATCATCAGATTTAGATTGGTAACCAGCTGCTGCTAGTACTCACAGTGACAATATACAGTAAATATACAGTGGATCAGAACCGAATCATACAGTGTGAATCAACTGGGCTTCAGAACGAATAAACAAAGTGAGTGTGAAAGTGTCCTACAGGAACACTAGCAGTTCTGGAAGAATAAGTACAGCAGCAGCTCTTCACTGACCTTCACAGGTCATCATGGGTCCGGGCTCGAACCCCTCGTCGCAGCTGCACTCAAACGCTCCCTCCACGTTTGTGCAGGTGCCGTTCCCACACGGGTTCCCCAGCTCACACTCGTTCATGTCTGAAGACGGAGAGCGCATACACACACACACACACACACACACAAGTTCAAGTTCAACACACTCCCCATCAGCCTGATCATACACTTATGAACTAACATGATTTAAAATTACAGTTAATATTTAGTAATATTATTGATTTAACTGCAACAAACAAAGAACAAAACTTAATAATGACAATATTGTTCCTCCATAGAGCTGCTTTACAGCTGAACCCGAGTTTGTTTCATAATTAATTTTGCAACATTTTAATGACACTGTTATTGAACCGAACTGAATCAACATTAAACTGAGTGAATCGACAATTAAATGAACCGAATTAACATTAAACTGAACTGAATCAAAAATTTACTGAATTGAATCAATGATGAACTGAACTGAATTAACATTAAACCAAACTGAATCAACATTGAACTGAATTGAATCAACAATGAACTGAACTGAATCAATATTGAACTGAACTGAATTAACATTACACTGACTGAATCAGCAATGAACTGAACTGTATCAACATTGAACTGAATTGAATCTGCATTGAAATGAAATAAATCAACATTAAACTGACTGAATCAACAATGAAATTAACAGAATTGAACTGAATAAATCAACATTGAACTGAATTGAATCTACATTGAACTGAACTGATTCAACATTAAACCAACAATGAAATGAACCAAATTGAACTGAATAAATCAACATTGAACTGAATTGAATCTACTGAATCTACAACTGATTCAACATTAAACTGAATTGAATCAACAATGAACTGAACTGAATCAATATTGAACTGAACTATCATTACACTGACTGAATCAGCAATGAACTGAACTGAATCAACATTAAACCAAACTGAATCAACATTGAACCGAACTGAATTAACATTGAACTGAATTGAATCTGCATTGAAATGAATTAAATCAACATTAAACTGACTGAATCAACAATGAAATGAACCAAATTGAACTGAATAAATCAACATTGAACTGAATTGAATCTACATTGAACTGAACTGATTCAACATTAAACTGAATTGAATCAACAATGAACTGAACTGAATCAATATTGAACTGAACTATCATTACACTGACTGAATCAGCAATGAACTGAACTGAATCAACATTAAACCAAACTGAATCAACATTGAACCGAACTGAATTAACATTGAACTGAATTGAATCTGCATTGAAATGAATTAAATCAACATTAAACTGACTGAATCAACAATGAAATGAACCAAATTGAACTGAATAAATCAACATTGAACTGAATTGAATCTACATTGAAATGAAATAAATCAACATTAAACTGACTGAATCAACAATGAAATTAACAGAATTGAACTGAATAAATCAACATTGAACTGAATTGAATCTGCATTGAAATGAAATAAATCAACATTAAACTGACTGAATCAACAATGAAATTAACAGAATTGAACTGAATAAATCAACATTGAACTGAATTGAATCTACATTGAACTGAACTGATTCAACATTAAACTGAATTGAATCAACAATGAACTGAACTGAAACAATATTGAACTGAATTAACATTACACTGACTGAATCAGCAATGAACTGAACTGAATCAACATTAGACTGAATCAACAATAAACCAAATTGATATGATATTGATATGTTTCATAATTCATGAATAGATGTAAATGTGACTGGACATGATCGGTTTAAAACCTTCACAGTTGATCCCCGTGAAGTCGAGCCGGTAGCCAAACGGACATTCGCAGCGGAACGTCCCGTCCGTGTTGATGCAGTGGCCGTTCCTGCAGATGCCGGGGGTTTCCGTGCACTCGTCCACATCTGAAACACACATCTGATCAGTCTGTGCTCACGAACACACGTGTGCGTGTTTGATTCAGTGACACTCACCCACAGTCGTGTCGTCTATAGTGAGGATTTTACCAGAAGCAGGACACAGAGCTTTGTATGCTGTTGAAACACACACAAACAATAACTATTACTGCCATCACATCGTGTGTGTGTGTGTGTGTGTGTGTGTGTGTGTGTGTGTGTACTCACCCTCCTCCTCCGGAGAGGGGCAGATCTCACACGGGTCACCCCATCCCTGACCCGGCATCACGCTGCAGCAGCAGGAGCCTTTAGTGGTGTTGAAGGGCTTCGGAGCCTGACAGCGTCCGTTCTCGAACTTAGTGAAACAATAATTCACACGAATATCTGACAGACAGAGAGACAAGAAACAGACGTTGATTAAAGCTGCCAAATTATTCTCAAATCATTGGAGAAGAATTATTTGTGAAGAACCATTTGGGAAGAATCAATTCAGAAGAATCATTTGGGTAGAGTCAATTGAGAAGAATCATTTGAGAAGAAAGCTAATTCTTTCTTAAATGGAAACAAGGTGACTTGTTCAAAATAACTATACATATAAAATTGACTTGGCATCAGGAAATGATTTTCAATAAAGATAAATAAACATGAGATTCACAGATGCGGATTATTCTTTCTCAAATGATTCTTTCCACATGGTTCTTACCAAATTAGTTTTTCTCCAGTGATTCTGCTCAAATGATTCCTTCTCAAATGATTAATCAATGCACAAAATACGTTACCAGAATTATCAATAACTTTATTTAACAAATCACAGATATAACAGATATAGACACGTGTCCTGCAGTGGAGTCCCGAGGTGCCTAAACATGATGTGTGTGTGTGTACCTACTTAACCATATTTTAGGGACAATTTTATACCCAGAAGTGAGCTGAATCTGATAAAAGCGGTCAGTAAATAAATAAACAAATGCAAATTTTAAATGTAAAAATAGTATTTATGACTAACTGTATAGAAACAGTAGCAGTCTATGAAATGACGCCATTCAGAAAGCGAAGTAAGTGTGTGTGTGTGTTGTTGAGAAAGAGATGGGCGGCTAGGTTGCTGTTAATCCCTGAGGCCTGTTTTTCATTTGCAGAAGCCTTTCTACCCTCTAAACACACACACATACACACACACACACTCACACAAACACACACCCTGTCCTGTCCATGGAGTCAGAATAGAAAGTGTGAGCGAGTGGAAGACAACAAATGAACGAACAGCCCTGTGTTCTGTTTCCTTTCTACTTCATGAGGAACAAATCATTCACTCATTAAACATGACGAGCTTCCTGACTGCTGACCTGCAGCAAAACGTTTTCAACAACCTGTGGAACTGTGGGATATATCTGCATAACTCACCCACACATCTCTTTCCGGTCGAGGACAGCTGGAATCCCTCCGGACACTCGCACCTGAAGCTGCCTGGCGTGTTCACGCACTTGCCAAAGATGCAGATCTCTGCCGTCTGAGAGCATTCGTCGATATCTGAGCAAACACATGGATGACAGCGGTTTGACCACATCACTGTGAGCACTAGTACTAGTGATGCCGTGACCATCGTCCTGAGCCTCACTGACCTTCACACCTGTCGTTCTGCAGGAAGTATCCAGGAGGACAGATGCACCTGTAGGAGCCGTCCAGATTCTGACATGTTCCAGGGCCGCAGGTGCCAGGGCTGATCAAACACTCGTTGATGTCTGAGCAGAAGAGACGTGATATAAACACACACACACACACACACACACGTTGGAGGTCCAGCAGAGCAGCTTCAGGACTCACCCACGCACATCCGGCCATCAGGAGAGAGTTTATACCCGTCCAGACACACGCACACAAACGAGCCCACCGAGTTGATGCAGTTTCCATTCCGGCACAAGCCCCGGAGCGATGCACACTCATCTGTGTCTGAACGACACAAACAAAACAGAGTCGTTAACACACAAACACATGTCTGTCTGCTGTGGAATTAATAAATATTCTGTGTTTATTTATAAACTTTTACATTACAGTCATTCATGCTTCAAGTCAACAGGAAATCAATAATGATGGTAAAAGAAAACAGTACCATCATTAAAACATCATTCGTTAACACGTGTGTGTGTGTGTGTGTACCGATGCAGTCGTTGTTGTGTGACAGCTGGAATCCTGGGTAACACAGGCAGTTGTAGGAGCCCACAGTGTTCTTACAGGTTCCATTTCCACACGGCTGACGCTCGCACTCGTCCACATCTGAACACAGACAGTTATGAACACAGACGTTCAGTTAGTTATGAACACAGACCACAGATGGTCAATTATGAACACAGATGGTTAGTTAGTTATGAACACAGACCACAGACGGTCAGTTAATTATGAACACAGACGGTTAGTTAGTTATCAACACAGACCACAGACGGTCAGTTAATTATGAACACAGACCACAGACAGTTATAAACAGAGTTATGAACAGTCAGTTAGTTATGAACACAGACAGTTAGTTATAAACGGAGTTATGAACAGTCAGTTAATTATGAACACAGATCACAGACAGTTAGTTATCAACACAGGTCACAGACGGTCAGTTAGTTATCAACACAGGTCACAGACGGTCAGTTAGTTATGAACACAGATCACAGACGGTCAGTTAGTTATCAACACAGGTCACAGACAGTCAGTTAGTTATGAACACAGATCACAGACGGTCAGTTAATTACAAACACAAACCACAGACGGTCAGTTAGTTAAGAACACATGTAGTCGGTTAGTTAGTTATCTACATGAGGATGTACCACAGACATATGAACGCACAGATAGACGGGTGTGTGAGGCTGATCTCTCACCGATACACAGGTCTGGCGTGGATTTGAAGCCGTTGGGGCAGATGCAGCGGTAACTACCCACCATGTCAATACACTGACCCGGACTGCAGATGTTTGGATTCTCAGCACACTCGTTACGATCTGAGAGAGGAAGAGTCAAACACCATCATCATTATCATTACACACACACTATGAGCAATATGAGATGGGACATCTTCATTACACACACTCACCGACACACTGCTGGGTGGGAGTTTGCCGGTATCCAGGTCTACACTCACAGCGGAAACTTCCAGGAACGTTCAGACAGACGGCATTCTGCTGACACACCGGCCCTTTCTGACACTCGTCAATATCTCCACACATCATTCACAGAGCGTTGAGAGTAAATCATCTAATTTCATTTATCAATCTTTATGCAGACTGTTAATCCAGAACTCGTCACATGCGAAGGGCAGTGACGCGTCCAGTGAACTCTTACCCTCACAGATCAGCAGCTTGTCATTAAAGACGAAACCCATCGGACATTCACAGCGGAAACTGCCGATCATGTTGATACACACGCCGTTCTCACACACTCCGGGAATCTCACGGCACTCGTCGATGTCTGCGGATCACACACACACACACACACACAGAGGGTGGATGTGAAATCTTGCAGACACAGAACTGTGTGTTTGAATGTCTTTGAGTGTATCTGTGTGTTTACCAATGACTTGACCGGTGTAAATGTCAATAAAATATCCAGGTCTCTCACTTCCACACAGCACAGCGAACTCATCTGCAGCAGAGAACAGCAGTGTGTTTTTGTCAGTATATCTGAAGATTTTTTAAAATCAAGACCTTTTTAATTAATATTAATACCATATGAGAGGTAGAGCAAAGTCAACTTTAACAACTTTACAGTTCAAATACAGATTCTGACAAAAACAAAGAGTTTTAAAAATGATAAACCTCACATTTCAGCTTTTAAAACATTTTTTAAGAAAAGGGAAAATTATAGTCAAAATTATAAACTGAAAATACATTTCAAATTTTATTATACACACACACACACACACACACACACACACACACACACACACACACACACACACACACACACACATATATATATATATATATATATATATATATATACACATGTGCAACAGCGCCATGTTTTTAGCAGCATTTTATTTCATCACATTAACCCATACTGAAATTCCTGTTTTTCTGTCCAAAATGTAAGTCCTATTGAAATTATAATTAAGATTTAAGATATTTAGGACTTTTTGCAGCCCTAAACTTCATAAAACTAAATTTAAGACTTTTTAAAGTCTCTGGTTTATGTGCAAATCCCTGACAATATTCAAGAAATGGTTAAAAACTCATCTCTTGCATTGCAATATTTCTTCGATCCCTCTCTGTTCTAGCCTGTACTCTTCTAGACGTATAGATGTTTTAAACTTTGCTCTTCTCATGTTATTTCCACCTCAGAAGAATGGCTTGTTTTATTCCTCATCTGCTTCGGATGAAAGCGTCTGCTGAATGAATGAACGTAAGTAAGTGTGTGTCTCACTGGTGCTGGGGACGGGACACTTCTCGCAGGGTTTATTCCAGGCCCGGCCGATGTTGTACGAGCAGCAGCAGAACTTCTTGGTCATGTTGAAGGTCAGGTCTCCATCACATGTGGCGTTATCAGAGTAGTAGTTCCTGTAGCACAAGCTCTTCCTCATGTCTGAACACACAGCACAACAAAGCTGTAGATCTACCCTCTAGTATCACGGTGATGGGATTGGGTCGGAATCCTTCTCCTCCAGGACACAGAAGCCTGTACTCCGCTGAGAAAGAAACAAACAACACATCAGAGAATGATAACTATACTTATAACTATAACAATAATCATTAACAATAAATATAACAATAACCAGTGCTGGGTAGTAACTGATTACATGTAATCTGGATTTGAAACCAAAAATTAAGTACTTGCAATTAGATTATATTTTAAAATACTCGTAATGAGACTACAGTTACTTTTTTATTGATTACATTATTACATTTTATTCACATGGTCAACAACATGCAGGTAAACAGGTTGTTTTCATTTTTTTAAATAATTATATTAATTTTACATTTTTATGATTTAATTAATTATTAGCATTTCATTAAGCTCACAAAGCTCAGTTTGGAAAACTTTGATGTTTAATGCACTTCATGTTGTTAATAACAATGAATGGATTAAATTTTCTTTCTCATTGTATTTTTATATCTAAATGGTACAATAACGAGTTAGATCAAAAGTAGTCTGATTTTACCTTATCTTATATTACCTAAAGTGTGTAATAACTACACTGTTAATCATTAATGATAACTATAACGACAACTGTAATAATAATCATTAACAATAACGATAACTATAATGCTAGCTATAATAGCAGTGAATGAATCAAGTGCTTGCATGTGCGTGTGTGTGTATGTGTAAGTGTGTACTGGTATATATGGTTTGTGAGGACACAAATGTGTCCCCGTAAAACAAAAGGCTTAAAAACATACAAAACGGTGTTTTATGAAGTTCAAAAATTGCCAGTAGTTTTCTGTAAGGGGTAGGTTTAGGGGTAGGGTTGGTGTAGGACGATAGAAAATACAGTTTGTACAGTATAAAAACCATTACGCCTATGGAGAGTCCCCATAAACCACAAATACAAGTGTGTGTGTGTGTGTGTGTGTGTGTGTGTGCGTGTGTGTGTGTGAGGCTCACCGGAGTTGAGCAGCGGACAGGCCTCGCAGGGCGACCCCCAGGCCTGACCGAGAGAACAGCAGCAGGAGACTTTGGACACGCCCACGCCGATCTCCGTCGAGCAGACCAGACTGTCGGATAAATCGCCACGGTAACGCACCTCCAGGTAGCAGTTTCCAGAGCGAGTGTCTGCAAGACAGACAGACAGACGACATCATAAGTACTGCGGCACGGCACACGCGGCGTCGGCTAGAGGTGTTCGGGGTTAACGTGTCTCACCGACACAGCCCACTCCGGTGGGGTTGAGCTCAAAGTCCAGAGGACAGCTGCAGATGTAACTGCCCGGCGTGTTCAGACACCGGCCACTGATGCAGGTGGTGGGTTTAGAGCACTCGTTCACGTCTGACACAGAACAGAGAGAGAGAACAGCAGGATGAGTGGAGAGGAGAGGATAGGACCGGTCACGCGTGTCATGTGTCTAGTGCGTGAGCTGATCCTACACCTGTGCAGTTTCCTCCGCTGTGGTCCAGCTCGTACCCGGGGTCACACAGGCACCGGAAGAGACCCGGGATGTTGCGGCAGCGGCCGTTCACACAGATGTCGGCAAACGTGCACTCGTCTATGTCTGCGGAGAGACACACACACAGCAGCTGTAATGCATTATGGGTCTTGGTCTGGAGGAACTGGACTCACAGGAAGCTGCAGGACTGCACCATATATATATAAATATAACTATAACTGACTCATTAATGTGAAATATAATAATAACTATAACTAGATAAAAAAGTTTGTCAAGACAAACTTTAAGTTGTCTTGAGAAAGCCGGACCAGAAAGTTTGAAAAAGTTTGAAAAGATTAAAAAGTTTTAAGTTTGATGGTTTTCAGACTGAAATAGTTTGAAGTTTAAAGTAGTTTTAAAAGCTTAAAGTTTGAAAGATTTGAAGGCAATACAGTCTGTCAGAGGATAGATAGATAGATAGTCAGATGATAGATAGATAGATAGATAGATAGATAGATAGATAGATACATAGATAGAAATAGCCAGATAGATAGATAGAAATAGATAGATACATAGATAGATAGATAGTCAGATGATAGATAGATAGAAAGATAGATAGATAGATAGATAGATAGATAGATAGAAATAGTCAGATAGATAGATAGTCAGATGATAGATAGATAGAAAGATAGATAGATAGATAGATAGATAGATAGATAGAAATAGTCAGATAGATAGATAGTCAGATGATAGATAGATAGAAAGATAGATAGATAGTCAGATGATAGATAGATAGAAAGATAGATAGATAGTCAGATGATAGATAGATAGAAAGATAGATAGATAGTCAGATGATAGATAGATAGAAAGATAGATAGATAGTCAGATGATAGATAGATAGAAAGATAGATAGATAGTCAGATGATAGATAGATAGAAA